TGGAACAGCTGGTAGTTTCAAACTGCTGACCTTAAGGTTAGCAGCCCAATTTGTAACCAGTACGCTACCAGAGGGTTAGTGAGATGTAAACACTGCTTTCAGAAGTGTATAGACCTAAATAGAGGACATGACAAGAACAATAGCTTCATATTTGGATCTTTTTGTTTAATAAAGATTTCTATGAATGTTTAGCAATACTTTTTGAGTTATCCTTATGTTTGTGTGTGTGGGCACATGTTCTCACTAAAGTAGTACTTTTGCGAAGAATACTCGTGTGTTGACAACTCCCTCTGAGTTGGGGGGCATCTGAAGTGGTTAAATGAAGTGGTACCATTTCTGCTCATTGCCTTCATCATCATATTTCATTTCTGAGAAGCAGCTTCCTCATTCGCAAGTGGCTGTCATACTAGAAGAATGACCACATCTGCAAACACTAAGAAAACGGTATAGTGCACTACACATAGTAGATAGGCACTTTAATTTTTTACACATATACACTTTTGAACTAGAACTTTTATTACACACAAATATAACACACCTGTGTGCACATACACAATGTACCTAAGACAAAGAAGTGAGCACTGTAAATAACAGGCAGTGCCAATGTTCTGTGTTGCAGGGGTTCCTGGCTCTATGTTGGGTAAAGATGATCAGGAGACACTGACTTCCCACTTGATCTCATTACTCTGCTTCTGAGCTCAAGACAAAAGGGCAGTGAGTATATTGGAGATGTGCTTCACAGTGGCAAAGACTATACCAGAAATGAAAAACAAAAAACAAAAACAAACAAACAAAAAAAAAAAAACTGAAGAGAATGAATAACAGGAAACCAATAGTGTTGCTTCTTACAAACCTTTGCTGCCAAAGTTCTTGTTGGAGAAAAATAGACTAGAACTCATATAATACTTTTTCTCTACCAAGCCACATATATTCTTCCAATACGATCCGGTAAATGGAAAATACCATGGTTTTCTTAAACCAAAAGTTCCTAAAAGATAAAATAGAATTCAAGTGAGTTTAATTATTTTTCCCATTTAGACATGCATTCTGTAATAGAGTGTCTTAATCAGTTAATATATAAGTATCTCATTTTAGTATTTTCAATACACAGTGTATATACAAATAAGTAACACAGGGATAAAATGACACAGGCTTGCAGCAAGAACCTGTCTCTTCATCTGCCTGATTTAGAGCCATTGATGAAGGAGCCCCTGAGATGACTTCTCCGATGGACCAATAGCATCGTCTGAACAACTGCTGAGCATTTCTTACAGTAAGGATTCATCCCAGCCCTCATGTTTCTCATCTTTTACTGTTGCTCTTCTTTGGCACAACTCAAAATGAAGACCAACAGCTGTAAACATCTATTAATAATTAGACCATGGAATGTACAAAGTACGAATCCAGGAAAATCAGAAATTGTCAAAAGTGAAATAGAGCATATAACCATCAGTATCCTAGGCATTAGTGAGTTGAAATGGACTGGTATTAGCCATTTTGAATCTGGCAACCACATGGTTTACTATGCTGGGAATGACAAATTGAAGAAGAAAGGTGTTGCATTCATCATCAAAAAGAGCATATCCAGAGCAGTCATGAGGAACAACGCTGTCTGTGATAGGATAGTATCCATCCGCATTCAGGGAACACCAGTTAATACTACTATTATTCAAATTTATGCACCAACCACTAAAGCCAGTGAAGATGAAATAGAAGAATTCTACCAACTTATTAAGTCCAAAACTGATCAACCATGCAATCAAGACATATTGATCATTATTGGCAATTGGAATGCAGTTGTGGGAAACAAAAAGGAAGGTTCATTAGTTGGAAAATATGCTCTTGGAAGAGAAACAATGCTGAAAATTGCATGACAGAATTTTGCAAGACCAATGAATTATTCAGT